GGGAATACTGGGTAGAATACAAAGTCTCAAATGAATATGAAATTAAAAGTGCATAAGTATATTCTAAGCACAGAGATATCAGTATAGGGAATATGGGACTGCTAGGCATATAAAATGCCTGGTGGAAATCATAAACACTGTCTAAATATGATTCTGGTACTGGTCAGGTAATGGGGGTGTGGTATAGAATTAAGCCATCCTCCTTGATCATCCATCTCTTATCTCTTATAAACTTCAGGTATGAGAGCAGAATCCTTTGTAATAAACTCATAAGACAGGTATCCGAAAAGAGAGTGTTAACTGGAATTAAATCGACCACACTCTGCAATAACTGCTATTTAATAGGTAAAAGTAAGTTTTTAGCCGCCTCTTCTTAGACCCTCGTGGCATCCTTCTTTCTGTTCTGTTTCTCATTCCATTAATGATGTGTCAGGTTTGTTGTGGTGGTGACTGTTTGTTTGCTTCCTTTTTAGTAAAAGATTAATTCCAATTAGCCTATGTCCTATGTGAACTGATGTGTGGTAATCACCAATCAAAGATCTTAGTCAGAAAACGTAATCTACTTACTAGACAAGTTACATAAATCTGAGCTTCAGTGATCTTATTAGTAAAACCAGGAAAATAACAGCCACAGTGCAAAGTCAATCTGAAAATTAAATAAAGTAGTACATGGGAAGTGACTGTCTTTTCTTGTTTTCCCCTACAAACATGGCCTGAGAATAAAAAGTAGTTTAAGAATAGATCCCAGACAACTGGACTGGGAGCCTGGGAAGAATGAATAAGGGAAGAAAGGAGAGCCAGCCCAAGGATAGATTATTAAGCTAGTCATTGCTATGGAGATTAGGGCTGGATCCCACTGGGGGCCTCTTGAAGACCTATTTAAAATTCATGTTTGATTTGTTCATCCAAGGGATGGAAAAGCATAGTGTTGGTCAAGAGTTGCTCTGTGGGGTATGTGTTAGAATGGTTGAGTGGCTCCCTGCTCAGATCCCCACATTGCAGCTTCAGGGAAGTTCCAAAGCAGAAAGTGAAGTGAGGTAAAGTGTAAATTAGCTATACCTGTGCCACAGCACCTGAAAAAAAAGGTAGGCTCAGAGGATGCAAAGTACGCATAAGAAGAATACAACATCATGATCATCAGTGTGCTAGACATACAATAGGCCTTCTACATGTTACAGCTACTATTACTACTAGTGCCCACACTAGCATCATTATTTTCATGTGATATGAGGGCAGAAGGTAGAGGGAGACTCAGTCAACAACTATTTATTATCTACTATGGGCCAGGTACTTTTCTAGGCTTTATTCATGCAACTGTGAAAAAAGATACAAATCCCTATCGTCTAAGTGCAGACAAAAAAAAAAAAAAGAAGAAGAAGAAAAGAAAAACAACACAAACACGTTAATACATAAGAAAAATGTCATAGATTATTAAGTGCTATGAAGACAATAAAGAAGGGCAGTGTATTAGAGAGACTGTGGAATCTGTGTTAGCTAGAGTGTTCAGGATGAATCTCTGTGGTGAAGTGACTACATGGAAACATGAAAGAACAAGAATTTTGGAGGAAGAGCATTCCAAGCAGAAGGAACAGCAAATCCGCAGGCCCTGAAGAACGTGGTGGTGCTTACAGGGACAGAAAGATTGCCAGAGTGTCCAAAGCAGAGTAAATACAGGAGAAAATGGAGGAATAGAAGGACAGAATTCTCTGATGGCAGATCTTGGAGCCCTCTAAGGCTAACACATATAGCTCAGATTTTATTCATTTGGATGTTGGGCATTTATGCAAGGGAGATATATGACAGCAGAGAGCAGCCAGGTTAAATTTAATGTTGTCATAGATCTGATGGACAAGAATCTATCTTGTCTAAAGAGTAAAAGTGAGAACGTGGCCCCGGTGGCCCTCCGAATGAACTGGATAGTAGAGAACTGTGCACAGTGAAATACAAATCCAGAATGCAGAGCAGTTTGGAGATGATTTCCACAAGGTTAAAAACAATAGCTTCTATAAATATTCTTAAGATCCAGGACAAGGCAGGTCATCCACTCCATAACCTACAATGGGTAGTTGGTCATCTAGCTGGCTAGTAATCCAGTCCAAGAACAAATATGCAAATAAAAGACATTCACCTTCCTACCATATGATTTTAAACTTTAAAAAACACACAAATATGCATTATTGGTAAAGTTACCAGTAAGCCTGAGAGTAGGTGTATTATTCTCCTCGTTTCTAAGTTTTAAGGGAATTAACTGAGGCATCACAGTCTATAAGTGATGAGTCAGAATGAGAACCCAGGTATATTTATCCTAATTCTGGCATCCTAAATGGCACTTTTATTTTAATAAAATTTCCTCCTATCAATTACCTTGTAAGCCCTGACACCTACTCCCACCTCTAGTGACTCAGCATCAGCCTAATTAAGGCACTCACTTCAATGAAAGCATGAGCAGAGCACCTCATACAAAAAGCATTTCCAATTTTATTGCCATTTGATCTCTTACCAATGATGCTTACTAGATATGAAGGCAATTAACTCCAGATGCTCTGTGATCCCAAATAATGCCCAACATGAACTGGTTTCTGGAGGACTGTGGTAGAAGGCCTAAAATTAAGGTCCAGTAGGTAGCCTTGATGTCTGGTGAAATCAGGAGGGTCTTGAACAGTCTAAGCTCCCCACTCTGCTCCCAAGGATAAAGTCCCCTAGCCAAACAACCCTCCTTATCAAACAGATCAGGTGCAGTTCCTGTTTATTCTTGAGAGGTGGGTTTCAGTTACCTGCCAACCCACAGAATTATTCAAACAGGCCCATCACATCTTCCTATGGGAACCAGGGACACCTCACCCTCTTGATACTACAAAGCCTGCCTCCTACAGCCCTGCTTGCTCACTATGTTCCCAAGTGCAGTCTCCTTGCGGTCCTGCATGGTGTGTGGTATCCTCTTCCCCTAGATTGTGAGTATATGTGATTAATAGACTTTCTGTCAGTTTCATCTGTCAGCGCTGGGTATCATGTGCCCAATCATTCCCATAACCCTAGGGGAGGAATACCTCCCTCACCTGTGCAGTGAATAGGAGGCAATGAACACAAGGATTGAAATTTGACCCAAATCATCAGGAAGAAATGGAAATTCAAGAAAGTGGCATACCACCAAATACTGTCCACTGTGTAATAATATCATCTATTTGCAGAACATTTTTCCTAAGGGAAGGCTAAACATGGGCTATTCCTATTATCAAAATCAGAGAAAAACAGTTCTAATAAAACATAGGTATTCCGGCTGAAAAATACCAATTCTAGGCACTCTGAGTAACTGAAAACATGGAGCTTGCTTAAACTTACATTTTTTCATATTCTATCTCAGCATACTTTTTTGTATTTAATAATATCTGACAAAACTTCTAGTAAACTGTAAAAACCAATAAATAAATGTAAGGTATTTGTTAGCAAAAAGATATTGTTTAGGTCTAATAAGACAGCATTTTCTATATTCATTTCACATATGTGAAAATAGGTGAACAAAAATAAAATATTATTACATGATGTGTTGTGAAATGGAAAAAAAAAAAGGCAATCAGAAAGAGAAGTAGAACCGATTTGTCTCTTTGAGGCTGTTGAAATTCATATGTTTCATTTAATTTACCTTATTTTCCATTAATAAGAAATCAAAATCCAGAGGATTCTAGGCAAAATTTCAAGAAGCTTAGTTTGTTTGTTTTTGATATCAAACAGTTGCCACAAATCCTAGAGTACAGCAGTGTATTATAATGTTGGGGGGAACACCAGTCTCTCTACTTAAAGAAATGTGCACTCACATGCATTGATTGCACGGTGCTTACCTAACAGGTATTTGCTGAAATCTTCTAAGAAGACTGCATACAAATAATGCTATAAAAAAAAAAAACACACAACGGAAGTCTTTCTGGATAAAAGTGAATCAGCAGCAAGTGGGTCCACATTAGGCATTCACATCTGTCTCCAAATTTTACGTCACTGAACTAAATTTAACTAATTAAATATTAATAATGATGATGATGATAATCACACTATTGCTGCTGCCACTATGACAACTAGGACAATGACAACTCGCTAACAATTATTGAGAATTTATCATGAGCCAGGCACTGTGCTAAGTGCTTTATGTAGTTAACGAGGTTACTTCCCATAATAACCCTCATATAGAGGGTATAGGATCGCTGTGAGTCCGAATTGACTCGATGGCAGTGGGTTTGGGTTATTAGTACCTTCACTTTCCAAATGAGGGTACTGAGGTAGAGAGAAGATAAATGACTCCCCCAAGCCACACAGCAAGGAAATGGTCGTTCAGATGAAACTCCAAGCAGCCTCAGCCACTACGTTATACTGTTTAGGTTTCAGACTCAAGTCCTATGGTCTGTTCTGTAATCAGAAGCTATCAGTGGCCAGAAAGCCAAACTTCCACAGATTCTCATGCATTTGGCTATGAGTAAAATGAAGTACAGCTTCTTAAAGTAATTCAGACACTGATTAAATTAACATCTTTGAAGTTGCATATGTATGTGCTTGCGTGTGTGTATGTATGTGTTTATGTGTTTGCATGTGTGTATGTATGTGTGTGTGTGTGTTGGCGGTATTGTCAGAAGAGGACATTGCAGAAAGAAGGAAAAAGGAGACTATTGCCTCAGAAAGTGTTTTCCCCCTAGACTTTCAGAGTATAGTTACAATTCCTTGGTTTCTCTCTTCTACTCTAAACAAACATGTACACATTTCACTTTTATATTCCCACGACTCCCATAAAGATCAAAAGCAGTGCGGAGTGATTCACTACTTGACCTGAAATGGCCTCACAGTGAGCTCTCAAGGTAGGAGAGCTACTTCCCCTCAATTCTGCTGCCCTGCATTCTGAGGCTTTTCTCCCTCGCTCCAGAAAACTGGCTCCAGATCGAAGTCCAGCCCATGAGAGGCTGCCTGGATTGACAAGGAGTAGCACCACACAGGGTTCTCCCTCCATGGAGGTGACATACCCGGTCAGTTTTCCCTTCTGTCTGAACGCTGGCATGACTACGGACCTCATAGTCCTCTTCCAGGTCAGAAACATCCTCCAGCTCCTCTGGGGTCTGTAAAAAGAAAGCAAAGCATTGTGTGTGGGAATGCTAAATGGTGCATGTGCTTTGGAAAACTGTCTGGTAGGTCCTCAAAAAGGCAAACATAGAATTATTGTGCGACCCAGCAATTCCATTCCTAGTAACATACCCAAAATAACGGAAAATATATGTCCCCATAAAAACTTGCAAATGAATATTCATCAGCATTATTCATAATAGCCGAAGGGTAGACACAATCCAAATGTCCATCCACTATGAAATGGTCAACAAAATGTGGTACATCCGTATAACGGAATACTATTCAGCCATAGCACGGAATGAAATACTGACACCTGTTACAACATGGATGAACTTTGAAACTATGCTAAGTGAAGGAAGCCACCAGACACAAAAGGCCACATATTTTCTGATTCCATTTAAATAAAAGGTCCAGAATAGGCAAATCCATGGATGCAGAAAGTAGATGAGTGTTTTCCAGGGACTAGGGAAAGAGTGGAAGAGGAATGACTGCTAATGGTTATAGGGTTTCTTTCTGTGGTGATGAAAATATCTGGAATTAGACAGTGGTGATAGTTATACAATCTTGAAAATATATTGAAAAACACTCATTTGTATACTTTAAAATTGTAAATTTTATGGTATGTGAATCGCATTCCAATGAGTTTAAAAAACAAAAGTAAAATTTGATTAGATGGAAATTTTTTCTCTCAGTGAGTAGCAATTTGGCTAAACACTACGTGGTTACCACAAACCAATGTATTTAAAGATGATAAATAGAGTAATTATCATTATAATCACATGCCATCAAAATTACATCAAAAGATTATTAAGAAATTAAACTTTCTAGAAACTTAAATATTTTAAATTGAACTTCAGTGTCTATTCTAAGAAGCTGGCTAATGTCCATTTCTTCTTTCAATCTCAGCTTAAACACCACTTACTCAGAGAGGTGTTCCCTGGCCTCTGAACTGGAGGTGGTTCCTCTGTCAAGTGTTTGTTAGTCTCCTCTGCCTCCATTGGCATAATCCTTACCCTACTTTGGAAACCCTGGTGATGTAGTGGTTAAGGGCTACGGCTGCTAACCAAAAAGGTCAGCAGTTCGAACCTGCCAGGCGCTTCTTGGAAACTCTATGGGGCAGTTCTACTCTGTCCTGTAGGGTCGCTATGAGTCAGAATCCACTCGACGGCAATGGGTTTTTTACCCTACTTTATGATATCCTTGCTTGCTGAATTAGCCAGTTAATTGTTAAAAACTATTCTGTGAGGCAAGGCCTAGATCTGCCCTGCTTACTGTTATAGTATCAGCATCTAGCACATACAGGTTTTGGAAAGAATGAAGAAAAATTGTCAGTGATAGCTAAAATGGTAGATGGGTTTGAGGGGAAAACAAAAAGATAAACAACAACAAAAAACTGCCCTAACTATAACTTTCACTGTGCTTCTACCGTCTGTATTTCAAACTAAGATTTTTTTTTTGTTTTATTGATTTTTTTCCTTGTCCAGGGTTTTTATTTTTAGTCTCACTGTGGCAATATTTAAAGATATCCATCATTGTTGCAAATACTATCACTTTACCCATAATAGGTAAAAGAATTTAACAAAAATTAACCTAATATTTGTTTTGGTTTACATGGTTCCAACTTTAAATAACAATTTCTTTGCTAGAAAGACCTAGTGACAAACCCAGAAAACAGACATTTAAGTTTCATGAAAAACAACCCAAAACAAGTTCAGGTGGCTCTTGAAGACTGGAAGGGAGCAGGTCCTGCCTCCTTAGACCAATACGGATTCCCTTAGGCCTTCCTTTGCACATAGGCCCGTTATTTTCAGAGATGCCAGGAGAGTTCCTTCCCTTGGGATCACTCCTAAGATGTGGATTTGCAATGATTAGCTCACAATGTGGAGAAAAACAACCAATTTCCTACCTACTAATGGCTTCAGATTCCTTTTCATCTCGTGGATCTTTAATCAGTCCCTTCTTTGTTCTCTAGCACTTTATGAGGGCCTTTTGCATTCATTTCAACTGACTCCGACTGGATAATAATATCCCCCCTCTGACCAAGGCCTCCAATACACTGGGGAATTTTGATTTATACATCACTCTCTTTGCAGCCCTTCTTTGCTGCCAATGTGTGCAGGTGCGATCACAGGACAATTTACTCTCTTTTCTTATTTATTAGTAGCATGAATTTACCACCATGGCAATTCAACCAATCACATATGTCAACATAAGCCATTTTGTGTATCCTCCCACAGTATTCTTGAGACATCATCAGCCCCTGTAACATCTGAATAAATGCAGTTGATCCAATATCCTTTCTCCCATCCTGTTGTTTTGTAACTGTAGGCTCTCTAGTGCCCCTGCTGTGATCTGTTTCTCATAAATGTCTGTTATTTATTTCTTGGATCATAACCCCAACATGCAGTCACATATAACTTCATCATTGATTCAGTATTTCATTCAATTCAAAAATGAAGTAACTTAATAGAAGCTAAACACAGCTCTGGCTGTCAGAAGTCACAGTACTATTTTTGTTGGTGATACTGCAGGAAAAGATAAGTCTACCATTTATACCCACATACTTCTATGCTTATCTTTATCTTTTACCGGGAACTAACAGATTTTTTGCAAAACTACCAGAACTGACCTCTTATCTTCTCCAACAAAATCAGTGGGGGAGTGATCAAAACACTCGCTGGCAGCATTTTTCATTCTGTAAGGCCAGCTGATTGGATGGTATTGCAAATACAAAACAAAGTTAATACATAATGCTACAGTTAAAATTAAATGGGAAACGAAGAAAGACGTAAGAGTATGCTAATCACCTCTTAATGAGCACGGTGGCTTGGCTGCTAACTGCTAACGGAAAGGTTGTTTGTTCCAACCCACCAAGCGGCTCTTCAGTAGAAAGATCTGGTGATCTGCTTCAGTAAAGATAACAGCTAAGAAAACCCTCTGAGGCAGTTCTCCTCTGTCGCATTGGGTTGCTATGAGCTGGAATCGACTCAGTGCCACATAACAACAAGCACTTTTCGGGTGCTACATTAACTCCTTCAGAACTGAAGACAAATAATAATAATATATATTTATATATATAAAAATGAAGGGTGGGATACCCCATATGGTGCACTCGTAAAAGCAGCTGACTTTCCATTGTCAGTAACTTTAGGAGGTTAGACACGTGAGAGCTGTGTGTGTGTTTCTAAACAATTTTCCTTCTGTGAGAGGGGAGACTGACTATCCTAGAGGTGGTTTCATGCAGTAGAATGATTCTATACTGCTGAGTCATGGAGATTGGAATTTGGATTCTGGCTCCTCAATTAGTGGTTATGGGACTTTGGGCAATTTGTGTACCCTTTTCAAACTTTGGTTTCCTCAGAATAAGATTTGGATAATACCTGCCCCTGAAGGTTTTTGTAAGACTCAGTTGTTGGGATGCAGCAAATGTTTATTTCCTTCTGTCTGTGGCTTTTCTCTTCTTCTTCCACTATCCCATCTCTCATCCCATCACACACCTTTCTATTTTTTCATAAAAACTTTGTGGTTAATCTGGGTGCTGCCATTTTAATCCAAATTTTCTCAGACTGGGACCTTGGACAAGTCAGCAAATACTTCTCTACTTCAGATTCTCCAGCTATTATTCTGGATGAATATGGTACTTACTAGCTGCCTGGAGTTATAGTCATCTGATTTTTAGTATATAGTGCCTTCGTGATAAACAGGATTTACCACAAACCCACATTCTTTGCTTTCTCCTAAATATCAAGTAAGAGATCTCTTTTGATTTAATTCTAATCACGTGGAAGAATAAATTTCTCTCTTCAACAGGCCTCATCGAATAGTCACTCTCACACAGACTGTTAGGGATGATTGAAATCACGTGCCTTCTTTAAGCTGGCCCGTCTCTAACCCAGACTGAGAGGAAGATGCTCCATTCTTCTGGAAAGAGTGTTATAACCTCAGCTACTTCTCATATCAGAAGTCAGGAAATTTACATCATATTTATAGATTTTAACTGTTGCTTATTGTTAAGCCACCCTTAGGTGGTCCAAAGAGATATGAAATAGGCTAAGTTTCATCACCTGTAAAATGGTGAAAATATTACCTACTTCTTAGAGTTATTGTGAGGATAAAATAAGATGATGGACTGGAACCTTATTCAGTGACTGGAAAATACTGAAATTTCAACATTGTTTATGATTCTTAGAAATTTTATTATTATTGTTGTTTTATAACATCCCACTTTGCTTCTGTAAAAGAGAATAGAAACAAGTGTAGAACTTGAAAACATTCATGCTGAGGTTTTTATATGGAAGCTGAGGCTATAATAAAATAGTAGAGTCCATTAAAAATGAAGGTCACAAAATTGGTGGTTTTAATATATATGTATGTGTGTGTGTGGAATGTATATGTATGTGTATCTATATATATGTATATACCCACACACACACTGAGGTGGAAATGATTGCATTTATATTATACCTTTTTTCTAAGGAGCTCAATGCTTTTTACAGACATTATCTCAATTCTTTCAGCATCCCTAGTGAGACAGGTAGGTGGTATTATTATAACTAAAACTCACTGGCAGAGACTTTATAAATGTTTGATACTGAAATATATATATATATA